CAGCAGGAACTTTGTTCAAGAGAAATATAACACATTTTTTGACATGTGGTTTTGGTAAGCCTGTGTTATATGTGGTATTTCTGAATTTAAATATACAAACGTTACCTTTGTCCTGTTTCAGCAAGTCTGCTATCACAGCCTCTCTTTTTTAGGAAAGCATTTAATTTAAAGCCAGCTTTGATTTTAAGGAGATAGAGTGTGTAAATAAGATGTAACATCAAAAATAGTGGGCAGCCAAGTAACTGGAATGTGTACTATGCAGTGCATTGAGGGGTGGACAAAATCCAGCTCACCATGAAAATGTTGTTGTGCAGAAAAATTAGGAAGACTTCCTTAGTCCTGTGCCGTCTGCTCAACAGGGCAACAGGGCTGCGGAGAGGCCTGATGCTGACTTCCAATCAGGAGCAAAGCTTTTACTTCCTGCCTAATGCTGGAGCTGCATATGATTATGGGGTATATAACCTCTCAGCAGTTTTCAAATCATGAATCAAACTGCTTTGGATCATCTGAGCAAGGTTCCCATAAAGCAGTAGGTGATTTGACACGTTCAGTTATCTGTTACAACTGACTTTACATAAATAATCTGATTTATATATTTTTCTTTTCAGTTTCCTAAATGGTTCATTCCAAGCAGGAACAGCCTTCTCAGAGAGGCTGATCTAAAGCACTAACCTATTGCTACACTCCCAGTTTTAGTGGAATTTTTTATATCGTTTGAAAGAAAGTGGGACTTGGTTCTGGTGCAGTCCTTTTGTTAGCAAGTAACTGCACAAAGAAAAGAAATTCTGTAGGTTCCTTCAGTTTACACAATCTGCTCTGTATAGGTATTTGCATTAGAAATAATGGCATGTTTTTAATGGAAAGCACAAGTAACAAAAGGAACAGATTATCAAATGTTGCAGTGAGATCTCTGCCACTGGAAGTTTTAAATTCAAAAGCAGACAATTTTCTATAAGATCTACTTGCATAAAAAGGGAATGAACTAAGAGAAGTCCTTTGCTTCATTCAGATCAGGCAAGGCAGTCACATGTGTGATCATGGAATCTATGAGCACTTAGTAGATAATACTTTTTTTGTTGTTTTCTTGATTGCAATATGGATAAACACATTGCAATATTACAGATGTAATGTGCTTTAAGAAAAAAGTGGATTGGCATTCAACAAATACAAACAGGAGGACTCGTCAATAATATACTCTGTAGTACTTACAAGGAGTAACGACAGACACAATAAATTACTTGAGTATTTCAGTAAAAATCAGGATTCATTAGGAGTTAAAGTTTAGGTTTATGTCTCCTGAATGCTATGGTGAATCATCTGTTGGTGGTGGTGATGGCTAAATGGGAAACTGGAAAGAGAAATCAATGAATAAATAACATTTTCAATGGCAACACTTATTTTTTTTCCTTCAGAATTTCACAAGTTATGGTAACAACAGCGATGGCAGTATGTCCCAGTCTGCAGTTCTGGATGACTTGGCAAAATACAGCCATTATACTCTATGGTTAACTGCAAGCACAGCTTTTGGAGATGGAGACAAAACCAGTGAAGTAATAGACGTGTATACAGATCAGGACAGTAAGTTAATAACTTTTTAATGCTCAGAGTATATCAGTGCTTCCATTTATTAAGTATTCTCTAGCTTTAAAAAATATTTTACTGTTATGATGGCAAAGTTAAAAAAACCCCAGCAAGTACTGCAGTATTTTTCTTTGCACTGAAGATATTTTGATCTGAGTCTTTGCTTTGTAATACTAAGCACGTAGTTCATGAGCTGCTTCTTTACATACTAGCAATACAAATACTGTCTTAAAGCATCATTGAGACTTTTGTTAAACAAACTTAACATAGATGGCTATTCATACATTCCTTCAAAATATTTTGCTTTTGATAGTGAAACATAAATGATTTTTAGAAGTTTTACAAAATATTACGAGTGAGTTTTACAGACTAATTATTTCTGTTTTAGTTTTGGATGCTTTATTACTGTAATCCATGCATTTATTTTTTGCTTATTATCTCTCATAGTCCCAGATGGTTTTGTTGAAAATCTGGTCTATCAAAACATTTCCTCATCTTCTGTAAATGTAAGCTGGCTTCCACCATCCCAGCCAAATGGCTTAGTCTTCTTTCATGTTTCTCTAAGTTTATTGCAACTGGGAACCAGTAAGGTATTGTCTTTCGTTACTTACAACACAAGCATCGTTTTTGACAATCTGGAGAAATATACTGATTACATTCTGAAAATCACACCAGCCACTGATAAAGGATCTTCTGAACTGCATGCTCTAAGTTTGCATATAAGAACTGATGAAGATGGTAAGATAAGTATATTTTATTCATTCCTAAGGAAATGTAGAAGAAAAAACTAAATAGCTTTCTAAAAGAAAAAAAAAAAAAGATTATGTTTTCTTATGTTACTTAAAACTTTTTTGTTATACAATGACACAAACAACTGCTAGACATTTCTATGTTGAGACTGTGAAATAGAGTTTTCCAGTCATAGCACAACTTTAACAGATACCTAAAAGACACTTTTCATTGTAACTCATATTTTTCCGAGGTTACTCTTGTTTTTTTTCTCTCTTATTTCTTCATGTAGTTCCAGAATCAGCACCTATAATCAAAACATTTTCAAACCTCTCAACTACCTCAGTAATGCTTTCATGGGACCCTCCTGTTAAGCCAAGTGGTATTATAATAAGTTATGATTTAAATTTATTTGGGCCAGAAAGGAATAACTCATTCTCTACCACCAATAACTTTATCATCTTGGAAGACCTTCTACCATTCACATTATACAACATTTATGCAGCTGCAAGAACAATAAAAGGCCCTGGTCCATTTGCTGTGCTTCAGTTTTACACAGATGAGTCAGGTGAGCAAATTCACTTGTAACCAACATTGAAACATTTGCCCTATGTTGCTGCATCTGTCTTAGATCTGAACATAGATCTGGAGAGAGTTGAGATGAAAGATTCATTTTCCATTGGTCTGTATATGAAGAGCTTTCAGAAGGAAACACTACAAGGGAAGTGTTTTCTGAGTTCTCCACCTCCCACCACAGTGTGCAAGAGGAGGTCACATTCTGCATAGGATTACAAAAATAACTCCAGGGAGAAATGTCTTTTGCCTTTGGAATGTGTTACAGTTTCCCAAGTGTCAGGAATTTTGAAGCAAGCAACAATACATTTCTCTTCATACCCCCACATAATTGAGAAATTATAAAACATTTAAGTATTTCTGACACATTTACACAGGTCTCCTTTACATGGACCTCTTCTCACCTGCATGGTAAGTGATAGATCTTGTAAATATATATTGAGTTGCACTCAATATGTGATGTAGGAAGTGACGCAGCTTGCATTCCAGCAATATATGTGATACAGCTTCTGTTAAACGCCTTAGTTCTGACAATGGGGATGTTTAAGTGATGAATAGATTAACAGATCTCTAAAAAGATCCCTTTCCAACTAAACGTGTATTCCAGATTAATGGAATTTGTTTAATGCCAAAGAGAAAGAAAAATATTTAAATAGCAATGAAGTACTGTTTTGTTGAGTTCAGATATGAATGGTAACAAAAGTCCTGCTTCTCCAAAGTGTTTGGTTTTGCCTGGATTATTTGTAATTTGGAACTCAATAGCTTTTCTCTTTTGCAGTGCCATTAGCTCCACCCCAGAATTTGACCATTACCAACTACACTGCAGATTCTGTGTGGCTAAAGTGGGATCCAAGTCCCCAGGCAAATGGTGCTATAATGAGCTATAATTTTAAGATTTATCAAAACAACACTGAAAAACTATTTTATCGGGTATGTTTATCATTAACAGTGTTTATTTTATTAAAATATTTTTTTATGCTCTAGGAATAAAATGTATGGCAAATATTTTAAATGTCTGTTACTCTCCTAGAATTATGAATCTTCTTTTAAATTCCTATTTATTAAGACAGCATCCCACCATGCCTGTAATTCAATTTCTAAAATTAGATAGAAAAGAATTCTTATATTATAATTTGCTTTGAGCTTCTAATATTTCATTAATGATGAGCTTTATTAATATTTAGTTCATATTTCAGTGTAAGTTTTATGTTAGGGAAGGACAGAAGCTGCTTGTTTTGTGGATTCCCTTGGTTAACTATTTAGTATCTGCAGACTTTCAAGATTCAAAAAAGACAGACATTCCTAGTAATCTTGAAAACTGGTTAAGTCTGTTTAGAGGTTTGCATTTTGTATTTTTGCAGAACTGAATAAATTTTAACTGAAATAGATGCTATAAAATTACATACAAAAATTGGCCAAGGCATTTATATCTGCTTAAATCTGCTTGCTTGGGTGGCATCAAGAAACTGTAAAGGCATCAGGCTGATGCCAGCATTGTATCTCGGGCTTAGAAACTATAGGATCGGAGAATCATATAGGGAGTTCTGTTCACCAGAGACGCTTGTAAAAGCTACAGAGAAAAGGCATTGCTGCAGTGAGATATGAGTTTAAGACATGCCGGTAAGGAATCTGTGGAACTGTGAAGCACTTCATTATTCCAGCTCCCTCAGCAATACAGTTCTTGCAGAGCATGCAAGGAAATGCTTGTGCTCTTGTTAAGTGTATTCATTGTGGAAATCATTGTGGCTACCGTGCTACCCCTTATGCAGTGTGCTGTTATTCCCAGTTGTGGAATTAAGTGCTGGCATCATCCCAGTTTCGTCCATAGTCCTTGGAAGAGGGGGAGCACAAGAATAGAAACAGTGGTTTCTAAAGTCAGCTGCCTTTGGAAACACATTCTTTGGGCACTTATGGAGACCACCAAAGATTATTCTCTGCTGTCCATATGAGGCAGACTCAAACTCAATTAGAATACAGAAACTGGCCGGAGCACTCGAGTGCATCTGCAATGCCTTACATTTTTTTCATGTGATGTTATGTGGGCAAGAAATCAGATTTAGGTTGTGGCAGCAAGACAGGCAGGGCAATTTATATAAGAAATATTGTAGTTAGGCATCATAATTCTCTGATAACTTGGATCCTACAAGATGTTCACCAGGTTTTCATGTTGAAATTCATCTCTTTCCTTGCTGCTATTATAGTCTGCTCAACATTTGCACAAAACATGCCTTGCCTGCTCTGGGAAAAACAGCTACCTGGAACTGAACTGTGTTTTTTAGCTTTTTCCAAAGCTCTTCATCAGACTCTGTATCTGGCTAAGGTAGAGTAAAGAAATGAGAAATTATAGTCCAGGACCTCTTCCACTGCAGAGATGTAGTAAGGAAGCAGAAGTTGAGAGGGGATTGGTGTAGCAGTGTGGAGGTGACCAGAGTTTTCAATATTGGTAATATTGGTAAAAAAAAGGCATATGTGCAGTTAATCTGTTCTAACAACACTATGGTAATTATGATACCATCCTTGGCATATCTTCCTCATGAGCCACAATGAGAGAGGGAGAGGAAAAAGGAAAGGAAGAATTTGACCCTGCATTCTTTTTTGTTGAGTTCAAGGGCTGCTTTGACTGAAAGCTACTCAGAGTAGAAGAGGGAAGACTGTGGCTGTAAATCTTCCTTTCAGTGGGTTCAAGGTGAGGCCCACAGTGTTTTCGCAGATTAATTGCATACTAATAATTTTTCCTTCTTTAAGAATATTTCAGGTTCAAACCATGAGGCAAACCTTGTTGGATTAGAACCATTCAGCCCCTATTTGATCAGCATCTCTGCATTTACCAAGCTTGGGAATGGCAATCAGTTCAGTAATGCTGTCCAGTTTACAACAATGGAATCAGGTTAGATGTGACTTTTTGGAAGCTGCACTTCTGTTTATATGTATTTTCCTTGTGTGGCTGAACAACAGTCTTCCTCCTCTCTCCAAAGAAAGCGTAATATAACACTATCTCCTTGTCTTCTGCCTGTGTAACATTGATTCACATCCTATTGTACCGGATAGGCTGGGTTTGAAGTTTGATGTCGGAAGTATAGAATTAGAAATGTTCTCATCTGAAATGAAAGGCTTATATGGCTACTATAAATCTTTTAATAGCATCATAGATAAAGGGAGGAAAATTAGATAGATATTAGTCTTTGCAGATCAAAGCGTTAATTCAGATCCCTGTGAAAATAACTGAAACTTTAGCAGTATCAAAAGCAGCTGGACAAAAGATTGGCAAATGAACTGGAAATTGTATTAAACAAATACAAGTTTTTAACATTTTTTACAATTTATTTTAGGAAGGGAAGCTAGCCACTAAGTATCCTAACTTGTTAGATCTTATTCTTCCTGACAACTGGGGAGGACTACGCAACATAGCAGGCTTGATTAATTAATTATGTGCAGTTTTGTCTTGTGCTATCTACGTATCTTCTGAAGTTGAAGGTTGTTTCAAAATGAAAAGTTGTATCATATGAAAGTGAATATTCAACATTCACTAAAGACAGCCTGGGAGCTCTGCAGATTTGTGAAACTGGCCTTTGTAAAAAATTTTAGCTCCTTGGCCAGGTCTGAGTGATCCCCAGGCTCATGTACTTTGTAAAGGCTGTCAGCGCCAGGGGACTAGCATGGGTTAGAGGTCTGTGTCTGAACATCCAGATTCCTTTAAACTAACAGCAAAGGGAGCAGATGAAGTATCAAAAGATTCCATGTAGTGAATGCATTTTCAAGACCACACTTCCAGTGAAATATTCTTTCCGGAGCTGATAAAACAGGGGTTCTGGGATAACCCAGAAGTTGGAATCATGAGACATCTGGACCATGGCTGAACTGGTTCAGGTTGGCAATTGGATCCCTGCAGCTGGAGGTTATCCTGCCCAAGAGCCATGGTCATCCATCAGTTGTCTCATTTCATCACTGACATTCCATATTCATGGTACTTTCTTAAAAAATGCTGGAAAGACATTGCCCCCAGGGGCGTGGTCTAGTCGTTGTACAGCTTTTTCTCAGATTTTATGCTCAGCTACTTGCAGCATTTTTTCCTTTCCCTCCAACCCAGATTTTGAGCAATTGCTGGATCAGTTCCTCACTGAGTTCATCTAAGGATTCTATCTCTAGTCTTTATTAAAAGTGCCGGTTAGTCTTTCTTCTGCCGATGCTGCTTTTTAAAACAAGGTTTGTCTTTTAACTCTGTAAAGAAAATTAACAATTTTACAGAGATTCATTTACATCTATGCAGTGATACCTCACATGTTTCCCTCTATATCTGATACCTCACATGTTTCCCTCTATATCTGATACCTCACATGTTTCCCTCTATATCTGATACCTCACTGACAGTCTTTTCACTATTTTATGGATTTTAATAGAGGAAGTAGATTGGGGCACCCCTCACTCTGTATTCATTTTCTGGTACAGCCAGGAATTTAGAGGTCTTTTTATTTCCTCCCTGCACCCCCCACCCCCACCCCAATACTTTATTTCATTATTCTATGTAATCAGTTGTTCACAGGTAATTGCTCTATTTTCAGCATCAGTATAGTGTTTTTTACCTTTTATTAAATTTTTACGATGATTAAAAAAAAAAATCCTCCTGCTGGAACCAGCAAGGAGGTGGGGAACAGTAAGGTAATAGCATTGGTATGACAGCTCTGAAACCTGCCCAGTGACTTCTGTGCAGGTCATGCTTCTACTGAAAGAATAGAGAGATATGATAAAGAGCCTAAAAGAAACAAAGCTAACAGATAAATAAGGAACTTTTGCTGTTGATATTGTTGTGGAGTATGTATGAGGGTTTCACACTATTATATATAGTTTACTACATTTCGATTAAAAAATCATGGGGAAAATAGGAGCAGATGTGAACATAAAATAGGAGCACACTAGGAAAAAGCCAGATAGGCAGCCTTTTCTGAGTGCTAGCATCAGTCATGTCTGTGGTAGTTGGAAATGAGCAGTCTAATAAGGACAAAGACATATTTTTGTTCACCCAATGAGTTTCTTTTATCAGTTTGTCTGCCATTGAAATGTTTGACCCTTACTATGAACACTGGGTCTGCTTCTCTGACTGTTGTCTGTGATTACCATTTTAATTGTAGGGGAATGTTAATCTTTGGTACATGTGTATCTTTTAAGTACCAGATGCTGTCCAGAATGTTCATTGTATTGCAACAAGTTGGCAATCGATCCTAGTGCAGTGGGACCCTCCTGCTTCATCCAATGGTGTAATTACTCATTACATCATAACAGTTGAAGGAAATTCTACAAATTTTTCATTTTATAATACACTGCATACTTTCAGAAATCTGCCTTCCAATATTACCTATCAATTTAAAATAAAAGCTGCAACATCTGCTGGTGGTGGTGAAGAACAGGTCTGCAACGCTACTACACTTCCAGAAAAAGGTAACAAGTTATTCAAGTTAATCCTGTTTAATTTAAATGATGACTGTGAAACAAGCAGACCTGAAATACCTGCTTGAAATCAGGCAACTAAATCCTTCTGTTGTTTAAATTTCTTGCTAGTAGTGGATGACAGGAGCAGGGCTTCCTCTTTCTCCTGCTTTAGACTACATTTGGTGATGAGAATTAATTGCCATTTTAAAAAGCACAGAGAGAGTACCTTTTTCCGTGTTAAGCTTGAATGGCTATTTTATTAATTTCTGATCTTACTATTTTTTGTCTTATTTGTCTGATGTTAATTTTTTGTCTTATAATCTCTGCTTTGCTTCTAGTGCCCTTAGCATATTTGATACTGTGCATCTGAACAAAAATTTGGGAGCAAAATTTTTCTTGCTTTGTTTCTACCAGAGCGCAATGCTATGACTTCACTGATTGACAATAAAGCTGTTCACGGTTTGTGCAGTTAAGAAAAATTTTACTTCTTCAGGCAAACTTTGTCATTACTCTTGACGGATAGTAATTTTTAACAAGAAAGAAAATTGTGTGCTAAATCCAAAGAAGAATGTAGGCAGGCTTTTTGGCATTGGAGTAAAAAAGTCACCCAAAGTGGTTCTTCCTTTCTCTTTCCACACACACTTGACACTTCATCTAATCCTGGTTGTGCTTTCATTTGACACCTGAAATTATATGCAAAATAATAGTGTTGATTCTGTGTATATACCTGTATGCCCAGCTTATAAACTAAAAGTGGAGAGGAACCCCACTCCCAGTCCAGGAAGCAAATGCCTGTTTCAGTTCTTTTCCATAGTCAGGGATGATATCTACTTTTGGGATTCTATTGTTTTATTTTCTTCTTCAGTGATAGTTTAATATGAAAATAAAAGATAATGCTCAGCAAGCAGGACCCAGAAAAAAGACTTCACTTTCCTACTGAGTTACAGGAGTGATGACAGCATTTACTTTGGTTTGATTTTTTTTTTTCCCTCTTCAGTGACATCAATTCATGCAGTGGAACTGAAGAGCTCTCTAATTTAGGACAGCTGGATCACTAGGAAGCATGAGAGTGGGATGGGGTAGCACAACTGTATCACCTGATGCTTAGAAACCAAACCTAACTTTTGTAATACTTCAATTACTAAGTTATTGAATAACTTCAAACATGCATTACAGCTCTCATTCTCATACATTTCAACTGAAAAAGTGAGTTTTGCTCACTTCTGTCAAGTAGTAGTCTGTGTCAGCAACAGGGTTTAGGTTCTGGATGACAAGTGGAGGGGAGCGGCAGAACCCTATACAGACATCTAAACTTTGAGGAGGTCAGACTTACCCTTATGCTTAGATTTCCTGCTGGTATCTTCCTGAGCAGCATGCACCTCTTCAAGTTCTGCCTTTGGATCTCTCCTATTCACAAAGCCTTATTGCTCCACTCCAAGCTTTCATTTCCACATTTACAATCAATCTGACTTGAGAATGTGCTTGTCTGAATGAATGTACACTGTGTTAGTATCATCAACCAAATTACTGCTGCTTTGTTTCCAGATCAAATGGCTGAGCTCCAAATGAGGGCAAGCAGAGCAGCCCTTTGCTGGTGTAATGTGGCCAACATTGTGAAAATAGCCGGTGTTGTACTTTGATGACTTACCCTCCTCATAATATGCTCCATCCCACTAAAGCCTGGACACATTTCCTATTTGAACTATAAGGTGGCACATTCATACCTGTTTAGAGTAAAAATGTTCTTCCCAAATTCCTCATCAGCAACAGCTGCCTGACAAATTCTGCCATTTTCTGATCCCTTCTGCCTGGCTCCTTGGTGATTTAAGACTTCTGCCTGGGTAATCCACCCTCTTGTTTGCTCAGAAACTCCTGTCCACCAGCAGGGTTTCAAATCCACTTTTGAAGGAAGTGTTGTTTAGGTATTGGGGATAAGCATACTCATACCTTACAGCATTGGCTAGAAATACTGTAGTGATCTTAACTGCTGTGCTGAATGTGGATGCATGTAATCATGCATCTAAGTGCAGTTCTCAGCTGCAATTGAAACTCTCCACCCTTTCTTTTAAACCAGAGTTTTTGAACAGCAACCCCTGGCTCAGAGCTCGAGCAAGACTGGAATGGGTATGTAGACACGTGGGCTGATGCCTGATTAAAACTGGACTTGTCCAAAACCTTCAGGTGTTGGAGATAGGCTTATAGGAAGCATGTTACCCTCTGGTACAGAGAACAGGAAGCTTCCCAGGTATCTCACTTGTTGGAGGATATGGAAAAGGCTTCTAGTACTGTTAAAGAAGCTAGGCACCTGGGAAAGTTAATTGTTGTGGTTTCTGAAAAAATTGGAATTGGCTATTAGTTAATGCTCACAGAAAGCCTGGAGGAGCTGTGGATATGTTATTAAGCATGGGCTTGAGAGGCAGACTGCTAGTCTGTTGTGTACATAACATAGAGTTGTACTAGCAGGAGAAAAAAACATACTTTATTTTGTAGCAACATGTGGCTTATGGGTCTTATCACAGGGAGTTTTCCTAAGTGAAGGATTTATAGGATTTATACTACAACACATGTTGGGTTTTTTGGGTTTTCCTTTGCCACGTAACATTGTGCAGACCCTTTCTTGCTGGTTTAGCATTGGCTTACGTGTTGTTGCTTAGTCATATTTACAACAAACTAGTTATTATTAGGACATTTCCTTCACTGTGTGTTTGCATGAATTGTTTTGTGGTGACTGGGTACTAGGAATTGGAGATTCATGGATGGGAATGGAAACAGTTTTATAGCTGTTGTCAACTTCTTATTTATGATGGTCTAAGATTAGTCACAGCATAGGTAGCCAGCACTGAGTCACTGACAATGCATTTATTTCTGACATAAAGTGAAATTGAATTTGGCTCAGTGTCTCGCTGCATGGTGTTTGACCTTTACGTTCTTAGCAAGATTATTTGCCTTTTTTTTTTGAGGTAAATTTGTGTCTATCTGGGTACAATTAAACATGAATCATGAAGATTAAATTTATGAGGAGATTTGTAGTGTTTTGTGTCTAATCTAGCTCCATTGTCATGGTAAACTACCTTTGCCAGGCTGCAGTATGTTATAAAAACTGTCTAGCAGTAATAGTACTTTGTGATTAAATATATTATAGAGGACATGAAAGATAATACAGCAAGTACGTGTGCATAAATGAGTTAGGATTTTACGACTGAATAGCTATCCTTGGATTATTTTCAAGAAAATGCACATATTAAAATGAAGTTTCATTAAGGTTGAGTGAGTTTTTAGAAGGGAGAAAGAGCTATAAAATGGTAGGAAACCCCTCCAAAAGGCTTGCTAAAGCTGTGAAGATTCAGTTAACTCACAAGTGTGGGACAAGTGTAATAATAACTCAGTTAAGAATAAAAGTAAAACAATTAGGGAGTTCAAAGCATGAATAATCAAAAGAAAACTGCTGCTGCTTTCAGTCTTTTTAATTCAGGTTTTTCTTGACTTTTTTTATTCTTCTCTGAAAATGTTAATTGTACTGATTATAATATTAAGATGTGCAGAGTAATTTTTCCCTCCTTACTGCTAGTCCTACTTAATATTGTAAGTGAACACAGTGTCTTGGAACAGGTTGAGGACCCCATTGTACTATGGTGACAGTCTTTACCATTTGTTTTCTACTAAACACATTCATTCATAACTTACATTTAAAAGAAATATGACTAGAAATTTGTCTAAAAAGCATTTTTTTTTATTTAATCTGTGCTTAATATTGCTGGCTAATACTAACTTGTAGCTATACACAGAAGTATGCCATGTGCATAAATAAGAGTAGTTTCTCAAAGGATGGGTAATAGGAAAGTTTCTTAGGTCTTTTGGTGTGCAGGTGGCAAATTAACATCATCTTTTGTTACTTTTGCACAAAATCTCTTTAGTCTCTGGACAGGGGAGCCTTTAAAGATTCTGGGTTTGTATCTCCAGGATGGAAGTGCCCATTGGAAAATATGGACCTTTGTTTCATCTAGGCCTGCACAAAATGTAACAGGGGCTTAAAGCCATCTTCGTGTCCAAGCAAATGCTCTGTTTCTTTCACCATAAATCCTTTCCTTAGGACATGGCAGCTCTGAGTTGGAGTTGCATGGGTTTTCCTCATTAACTTGTGAAGAGAACTACAGATGGCCATAATGCACTGGAAGAAATATTTAAGCTTGTACCCTAAAGGGCTCTTTAGGGCGCCAGCATGGCATGCAATGCAGTGTGCACTACAGTGTCGGCCTGGTTATCCAGAGGGATTAACCTACTGCAGAGCCACAGCATTGAAAATGGAAGAGCTTCAGTGTCCCCTGTCACTACTACGGGTAAGAGCAGTGTTTTGTGTCTGTTCAATCAGTGTTGAAAGTTCACGTTTCCAAACTGCATTAAAGTAAAAGCATCCAAAAACTGTGAAGTGAATCATGGCTATGAATCTTTGAAACACATCTTTCCAAGATGGCTGAAACTGACTTTTTTCCCCCAGACTTCAGTTTTCTTCATGTAATGAGGAGGAGGTTTTTTTAGATTTTTGGATTAGTTATTATGTCCAAATGTAAATTAATGGCTTTGATGTTGATGGCAAATCTGCACTAAACCAATGCAGTTATCACTTGGTTGCTGCCAATGAAATTGTATTGATGTTTGGGGTTTTTTTATAAGCCGGTAGATAAAAATAGAAGAATCATATAGTGCAGGGTGAAAGAAATTTTTTTTGTAACGACTAGGTCAGTTATTTATTAATATATAAGAAATGATAGTGATGTATACACACAAAGCTGACATTGAAAGCATTTAAAGATCAAATATATTTACTGAAAAGTAGACAGTGGTCCAGTTTGTTGGAAAGCTGAGTATTCTTATTTAAAAAACTCGAGTACTCACAGCTTTTCACTACTTTTCTAAGCTTAGCTTAAAGGTGTGCTTTTCTCCCTAGATTTGTAGGATTTGATTTGTCAATGCTTAGATCCCACAGTTAGAGACTGAGTTTTCTAATCTGC